AAAAAAAAAAAAACAAAAGAACAAACGTAAAAAAAAACTTCACTCTTTATTACTTCCACGCATAATTTGTCAGTTGAGTGGTTTAAAGAGTTTTCTGCACTGACTTGGTCTTCAAATCATCAGCTAGTTTCAGCCCTTCAAACAGAACAAGATCCGCCGGGATGATGAGCATGCTTACTGGATTGGCAATCCTCCTTCAACTACTATCCGTGTCATTTGGATCCAAATGTGGTTACCCAAATAATACTGACACTGCAATCCATACGTTTAATTGCAATTCAAGTATGTTGAACTACAGCATAAATTTAACTTGTTTTATGATCAAACAATCAAACTTACATGTCAAGAAAAGTTTTTTCTTCTTCACTGCGCAAATCCTAAAAAAGAAATCTCCTAAATAAAAATTTTTAGACGTTCCAATGATCGTAACTGGTTCTCGAGTATTAGACAAAAATGAAGTAGAAATGTATCCAATTGATTTCAAAGCCCCAATGACCATCGAGCTTAACGCAATCAATAACGGTGAAGTGGTAAGACAAAATTTGTGCATTTGTGACCACAACTGCATCTTCATCGTGATTCATGGTAAATTTACTACTTTTTTAAACTTTTTTTTTTAGTATCAAGACAACAAAGTGGATGTCATACTGTCCCAATACACCTCTGGATGGTTAAGCTCCACCTGCGAATGGAAAGAAGTAAAAACATTTGGACTTTTGTAAGTCTAATTTGCCAAATTTGAATACTGAAGAACACAGCTTTATTTTTGAGAAAAACTCAGCAGATTATTTTAACTACTACTGATAGCCTACATTCCTAAACTATTCTCGATAGTTACATTTTTAGAAACAATATTGATGGATGCGAATACGCAAATAACTGCCCTCTCCAAACTGGAGACCTTGATCTTCGTTTACCATTGGACTTGAGCAATTTCGGCGTCATCATCAACGCCTTACTTGGCGACGTATGTTACCGTTACAGTCAACATTTTCAGTATCCACTCCTCTCAAATTACTTTTTGAAGAAGTGACAAACAATAGATGTCATAATATATCATGTGCATTATTCTAGCATGCTCACCAACTAAGTATTCATATGAAGAATTATAATCCTGGCTTGGAAAAACACGAAGAAATTGCATGTGTAACGGCTCAAATGAAAATTCGATGACGGATAACAACGTTTTGCGCACTGTAACTGTACATTTTCAGCCAACTCTGGGGGCATCGTAATTAAGTGCACGCTATACGTTTCGGCAACGTCTTACTTTCTGTATAGATGTTAATAAACATTAACAGTGACTCCGGTGGGACATCGAACAACTATTTACACAATACAAATCACCCTTGAAAAATTTCTCCTCTAAAAAATATGCATTTTGAGCAAGTATTTTCGCATATGTGCAC